CCTGCTACAGGAGCTCTGGGTAGACTCCCATTTCTCACACTTGTTTCTGGAAGAATGCTACTATATTTACCGAGAACTGAACCAGTGTTTAAACAATAGCTTTTTATCTAATTCATGCTACAGTTGCTACCAAAATTTTGTTCTTCTTTTCCTAAGAAACATCAGGGACATTATCTTTCACACCAAAGCTCAATCTAACAGATTAAATTTACAGAAAGTATAAGTATAAGAATGGGGCTTTCACTGATTTTCTTTTCCAAGTTCTTCAGGTTACATGACCCAAAGCAAAGGAAGATTGACCAAATGTTTTGTTGACTAAGATTATATTCAACTGCTCTGACTCCTCAACCCAGGAAACCTATTTGCTCAGTACCAACACCATGACCCTGACATGAGGTAGCCTCTGCACTGCAAGAGCTAAGTGCTCAGTCCCAACACCAGGGGCAATGAGAAACACTGTAGTCCTACCAGGGAGTCAAGCTGGCTACAGACTGGTAAGGTGGCATCATGATAGAGTGGAAAGACTCCGGCAGGCGCAGTCTACATACATGACCGGGCTGGGAGATGCCTTGTCTTATAAAACTTAGTGCAGAATGGATGTCTAGATTGTATGTGTATGGGGTGGGGTTGGGAGATGTGGGGGATAGGGGGAATGAAGGCCAAAAAAAGAAAAAACAAACAGCACGTAATAATTGCGATCCAACACACACACACGCACTTACACACATGTACGTACATTCACATGCATACATACATGCACACTGAAGAATATTGGGAAATCTCAAGCATTTTAAAGTTCCTAAGCAAAAACAGAGCCAGGTCAAACAGACAAGCCAAAATCTACCAACATCAAATTAAAGGAAGCAAACAGACCCAGAAGGGAGGGGAAGTGAGCAGGCTTGGGGTAGGCCCCCCTGTGCCTATCCCAACTCACCAGCAGCAATGAAAGACCACTTTCCAGTCCTTTACGTTACATTTCTAAAGCATTCATGTTCTTTCAATTTCCCTTTGAGACAAATCAAGAGGTGAGGTCTTTGAAAACTAGAAATTAGGTATATATATTTTTAATCGAAAGTTATTCAGAAGAGACATGGCTTTTATCTAAAGATTTCCAGTCATCTATCTGTTCTAGTGTTACAAAATGTGGTGACTGGGCAGGGTAGGAAAACTGCTTAGTGTCCTGAGGAAGAAAAGGAAAGGGGAGTGAGGTCACTTAGGGACCCTTCCTCTCTGGCCCAAGGATCATTCTGTGTTCTTTTAGTGGCTTCTTTTAAAATCATGAGGTTTAGCTCTGGAAGATAAGATATTTATTCTATATACTCTGTGGCTCAAAGAGACTTTTAATATAGATTTGGAGCCTTTATACAGTTAGCTGAGAGCCACCATAAGACCCGATTGATACAATATAGAGTGATAGGCAGAACCTGAATGCTGCCTGGAGCTTTGTTTTACCCATATGAGAAATAAGATGGGCCTAGCAATGAATGGGGTTTCTGTGTGGCCTTTTGAGGATGCCAGAATAGAGAAGCAATCAATCGGCTTCTATGTTTCAGGCTTCAAAAGGATAACTTCTCCCCCAAATAATACTACCAAGTGCTCCAAGAATGAAACATCAGCAGAAACTGTATTAGGGACCTAATACTAGCACCTAAATTTTCCTCCAGGAGCTTGACATAAACAAGGCTGGAGGACCCTTGCTCTCCACCTGGGGCACACAGTGACTCCATCTTGAATGAACGTTTCTCTCATGCTTCATTGGTAGGGCAGCAGCAGGCTCTATGTGGTGAGCAGGACCCACAAGAGAAGTCTAAATTTTACACAGAAATCATAATGAGCTGAAAAAGAAGTGATGAGTTGATGAGAACCAAGTAGCAGGGTTATAAGGTATCTGATGGTGGGGTATTTTATAATTCAGAAGACACCCTGAGTTACTTTTTTGTATTTTTTTCATTTTCCCCTGGAATTTGTTAGGATTCTAAATCCAAAAGGCTAGTGGCTGGAGTCCAGGGACACAGAAATGAAAACAGCCAACTACACTTTTTCATTCAAGCAATGGGGGTAAAGAAAATAAAATTAGACACATGAGGTAATCAGTGTGGTAATCTTGAATTGAGAGGGAAGAAGGAATATAAAGAAATGAGTTTTGACAGTTCCTTCCAGATTTTGATTTATAAAAACCAAATGAACTTTTTTCACACATTGAGATTCATTTAGAATTGAGATAAATATTTCCCAGGGAGTGTTAGGAGGAGGCAGGAACGGAGTCAAGGTCGTTAAACAAGGAACAGGGTCCATTAATTGGAATGTAAGCATCAGCCCTTTTACAGCATCAATGGCCATGAGTGTGGAAGTCTCTGAATGCACCAGAAGCTCTGGGGGCACTGAAGGACTCTGTGGAGGGTGAGAATCCATGGGACCATGGGTTGGAGAACAGAGAGCGGAGAGAGACCAGTGACAACCCAACCCACCCAATGAAGCTAAGAGCCAGCCTCTTTACTGGTAGAGGCTAAGAAAATGGCACTGTCTCATAGTAGGAATCACAGAATTATGCCTTTGGATTCTAAATGAAAGGGCCAAAAAGTGACTTAAAAGGATGGGGTTATGGGAAAAATGAGAGAGAATGATCTTTGCCAGCTCTTCTGTTTTAAGACCACTTCTAGGCAAGGGGAAATGAAGAGGCCAGACTGCCCAACCAAGGATGCAGAAACTCCAAGAATGTGCCAGAGTCTCCCCTGGTTAACCTCAGGAGCAGCTATTTGGCACTCTTCTTGAGAAAAAGGCAGCTTCCCAGGAGAAAAACTGCCCAAAGTCTAGAATTATGGCTCACGGATTAGTTATTTCTCCAATCTAATACAAGTGGTGAGCTTCATACAGCAAGACATCAAATATATTGAATTCATTTAAGGTCCCCCTACTTCAGAGGGCATATGAATCATTTAGAAAGTTTGTTAAAACATGGGTAACCAGAGTTTCCGATTCAGCAGGTCTGCGCTGGGGCTTGCCAATCCGCATTTCTAACAAGCTCCCAGGTCATGATGCTGATACTGGCCGTGCAGGGACCACACTTTGAGAACCACTGCCTTAGACTTTTCCTGTCTTCACTGAAAAGAACTGCAAAGTAAGTCTCAGGCCAGAGCAAGGAGGGAGGGACATTACTATAGGCATCTGTCATCATAGCCTCAAGCTTGGTGAATTTGGGCAGAAATCACAAGTGGCATCTTCCCATGCACTTGGATCTCTTGGGGAAACATGAGCACACCCCGATGAAAATGAAAATGGTCGAGGCTGAGTTCTTTACATGTTTGGTTCTTAAGTGTGGTTGGCAGTGAGCTCCTTCGTGGATGTGACACCTACAAGTTGTGAGGGATGAGATCCAGGGCAGAGGTCATGTTGGAGTATGTGTGTGAATCCATGCTGCATGTGCGTGTGTTCACATGTACATGAATGCTTGTGTGTGTGTATGCGAGTATGAGTGCATGTGAATACCTGTGTGTACTGCTATTGTCAAATCACCAGATGATATTAGAAAGACTAGGATGCGGATACGAGGTTGATGGGTTGGGGTAGGTGAACTTTTGTTGTGAAACATTATGATAACCCTGGGCAGCAGAAGCTATTTCAAATCTTCTCCAGAGTATATATGGCAGTGGGGAGGACCCAGCATGCTGCTCCATTATGAGCTGGAAAAGGGCCTGTGCTTTTGCCATTTGGTTACCAGGTTGATTTCTTGTTGTTGTTTATGAGCAGGGACTGGGGAGAGCGGGTCAGAAAAGGATGTCAGCAGGGTTAGTGTCAGCAACAGATGCTGCTATACATACCACCCAGATGCAAGTCGATGAGGTCACTGTAATAAGACTCTCCCCAATAGTCTACAACAAGGAATTGGTGAAGAGAGAGTTACTGGATCAGATAACCCTCCTGTCCCCCCATACCCAAAGCAATCAATGACATGAAGCATATGAAACACACAGAAATATAGCAAGAGAGCAAAGAAAAACAGCTGGAAAGCATGCATCTCTCTGTAAGTACATTATGTGTACACACATGCTGAGCTGTATACTTCCTGGTGGTGGGAGTGGGGAGTTCACTAAACCACAGGTGACAGTTAATAGCCAATAACAGTGTGATTCCTGTTTATCTCTCTGATCAGCATGGTCCATAGGCTTTGGCTTTTCTGGGAATCTTGGCCCTGCTGGGACTCAACCTCATCTAAGATTTAAAAAATTCATGGGCTACTTATTTCCTCAGTTATGGAATATTAGAAGCTCTAGGCTGAGGGGCTAAAGGCAAGATGTAAACATCCTAAAAAAGCTCTGCAAGGACACCAATCCTTAGCTTTTAAGGCAGTCAGAGCTCTCCCAAGAATTCACACATATGACCCCACTGGTGAATGTATCAAACTCCTTGCAGAACCACTTTTGCTGGATGGGTTTGAGATGAAGGAGATCCTCTTTCTTCTGAGGTCGGGCCCCCAACTTCGGCCAGCCTTCTCTTTAAAAGCAGCAAATGAGCTGTAACTATTTGCCTGAAAGCTCTTGGAGGTGTGCTGGCCACTAGTACTCCTAGCTTTTTTAGTTCTGCGTGGCTGTCCAGCGAGGATGTTATATTCTTCACATGCCTGAGATGCAGAGACTGAGCCCTGCCAAAGGGCTGGGCTTGGGCAGGTAGTCTTCATCCTCTCAGAATCGCAAATAAACTCAGAGTGCAACAAACAGCTGCTAGTTCTCTCCTTTTCCTCCACAATCACAATGTAAATGCTGACCCTGGCAGCCTTTTGTTCCCCACCAGCCTTTCCCCTTCAAGAATGGACATCCCAAAAAGTAGAATGCAATCCTGGAATGGTTTTTCAACTCATGCTCAAGGCTGACCCAGTGGTTTAAGTTTGAATCAAGGTTCTAGAAACAAATTGGGCTTCCCGCGTGCTCCAGACCAGGAATCATGTAAATCTCAGTCTTGCCCTCAGCTCGAAGGTTCTGACGCTAACCCTTGTGGTCTGGATACTCACGAGCCTCAGACAAGTTGAGACCAATGGGATGGCAGGTCCATATCAAATCTCAAAAAGGGAAGGGGCTGGCTAGCGTTGCTGGAAGACTCCAGACTCTCATGCTCAGCTAAGATTAGCCAGGAGCAACCAGACTAATAAGAGGAAAGGAACGCTGAAGCAGGAGAGAAAGGAGCAGCCAGTGTGTACAGACTGGCCTCAGAGATGATCTCTGCCAAACAGGAACAGGGTCACTGGGACTTCTGACAAAGGCGAGCCTTTTAAGTGATGTGCTTAAAATAAGAAAAGGAAAATAGTATATTTGGAAACAAAGTTGTATGGTAGGGGCTACCATATTCTGAGAATTTCCCAAATGTATCTTGGGGAAGTCTCCCAATGGAGCTACCAAAGCCTGTCTTTAAAAATGGGATGGATTTGTATTTGGATAGAGGTGTTCTGGTAAAGCCTTGCTTAGAAGAGTATGGACTAGGACAGTGGTTTTCGAACTGTTCTGTGGAACCCTAGGGTTCTTCAAGTGCTGTTCTGGGGGGTCTCCCAAATACCTGATTCACAAACACGGTGAACTCCTTTAGACACTCCATGTTCAAATGTTTGATATGCCAACTTTTAACCCACTGAAGCCCATCAACACATTAATTCGTGCTATCAGATAAGATGGCTTTTGTGAAGCCCTCAGGACCAAGTTTCTTAAGCCCTCTATGTGCAAGATCTTCACTCCCAGTAAAAGGACATTCATTTGTTTATTTAAATTCTGGCCTGTAAGTTGAGTGCTCATGTACAAAAGTACAGGGGAGCATCCCAGGAGCGCTACTGCTCAGTGAGACCCAGCTTCTCAAGCAGCTCCTGTCACAGTGAAGTCCTCTAAGTGAGTAACATGCATGTCAAGATATCATAGCATAGTTGGTTTTTGTGTTCGCTGAGTGTTTGGGAGCTTCTATTCCCAAACTCTGAGATATACTCTTTATAAGGAATATGAACTGTTAGATTTGGTAGTGATTCAATTGTAAAAACAATCCCTACTGCTCCAAGCATCAAGCACCTAGATCATTTAAACTGTATATATCCTGAGATCTCCAGGTAAGCTGTTACAGCAGCTACCTCTGTGTAGCAGGGTGTTCTCTACACTGTGTCCTAGGCATCAGCTGGAGGCTGAGGCTGACTTCTCCTATAACCTGTATTTTCAAATTTGTGTTTATTAACATTTTAGAGTAATTATGTTTTATTTAAACTTGGACTTATAATTTGGTTTGTAAAAAGGGTGCTGATGCTAAGAAACAAGTTTGAAAACCACTGACTTAGATGGTTGTATATGTTTATGAAACGATAATTATCTCAACAACTAGAAAGAAATTTTGGCAAAATCTTATGCCAGTCTTCAGTGGTATATTTTCTCTGACCCCTCGCCAGCCAGTAGCCTGTTGTAGAGATACTGAAACTCTGTCGCAGACTCCAATTGCAGGGCAACCAACAGGTATGTGAGTGCATTATGGAAACCATCAACCCTGGGGTGGCCCACCCAAACCTCAGAACCTGTGAGCAGGGAGGCAGAACGTCTTCCATGAGGACTTAATGCTAACTATAAAACGTAGGTGTGCTTGCCTGTTGAGCTAGTCTGACTTATCTGTTGAGAGATCTACCTCTCACTTTCCAGCTTGAGAGGAGTAATTTGCAGGGAAGGGCAGAAGGAATGACGGGCCCAGGGCTCCCTGCTGATATCTTCTGCAAGAGAAAGCAGCAAGGGCAGCCCCTGTGAGTCGCTTATAGCTGATGCATGGCGTCTCTTGTAGGTTTGAGCCAACTCCCTCCAGGGGCTCAAGCTTAATAGAGGAGGCCAAGTTAGAGCATGCAGGGCAGGGAGCAAAAACGAGGATGGCAGAGACATCACAGCTTCACTTGGAAGCTAGGGCCATTTTTAGGTGAACTTGAATCTCCATTCCTTGACACGGGCCAGTGCTTGCCTTGTAGTCGCACATCTCAGGCTTCTGGCTTACTGGCTACTCAGTGGTTCACGTTTTTGCATTTTATTTGGTGGCCCAGGCTTCAAGCAGTAAGTCCAGCATCAGGTAAAGCACAAAACCAAGAACCTCATGTCCTCATCTTTCTTCCCCATCCTATCTCTTCACCTGAAGGTCATCACTGAGTCGACTGTTAAGATGCAATTTCTAGGCCTTGAAGGGCCTGGAAAGGAGAGCAACTTCTACCCCTCATGAACTTCAGTCCTCCCATACCCAATTAGTTCAACTCGACACCAGGCACACGCTATGACATCACCCTACTGGTCAGTTTTCAAGCAAGATCAGATAGCAGCAACTAGCTCCATTCCTGGCTGCCTCTTATGGGTTCTTCTTTGGTTTAAAGACAGCCTGCTTGCCAGGAGAGGTACCACTCATCCCTCTGCCACACTAGAATAAGGAAGTAATAAGGGGTTACCACAAAATTAGGTCACGGCCTTTCTTCATTCCCAGCCTCAAAACTTGAATGCTGACTCTGGAGGCCTGTGCTCTCTAGAAAGAGATGAAGGTTTCCCCATCCAGACTGTACTGAGACTTGTGAACTCTTGAGAAAGCGGACATCAATCACTCCATATGTGTGTTGGGGCTACAGCTGGGGCTGGCGCAGCAGTTTCAAAGGCTTGAACCAACAGGGGTTCTTGGGCCCTTGGGACCTGGTATGACTCAGGTACTTCCTTGCTTTCTCTGTGTTCAATTGTGCTATACCCACCCCATAGGCTCCTCTGGCGAACAGTGGGTGTCACCACACTCTATTCCGGAGATCTTCCCCAGGAATGGCAGTCACTAACCACATGGCCCTCACAGTCATTTCCCAGTGTCTACTCAGTGCCAGTTCACCACAGTCCCCCAAGCCTCTCTACTCTGTCCTGAATGTTGAGCTTCCAGGAAACACAGAGCTTGGGTTCACACTAGGGAATCTGTCTGCTCTGCCCACAGGTGGTGGTGAGAGCTCTGCGGGGCATGTGTCCTCACATGTTCTGAGTAGCCTGGGCAGGAGAGGGAGCCTGGAGAGCTAAAGATAGGAGGTGGCCCATGGGGAGCAGGCTGGGGGCTCTGCTTGTGCAGTTCTGTGATGGTTCCTTGTGGTACAGTCTCCCTTATTCCCAGTTATTTTCTTCTAGAGAAAATGATGGGGTGGGAAAGGAGGAGATCCAGTGCTTGCCATCAACAGAGGAAGTGGACTGAGACTTCATTCTATGGGTAAACGGCAAGCCCTGGGATAGGGCGGAAGGACAGGTCTGGGCCCTGGGGCACTCCCAAACTGAGGTGTTTTTCATTCCTTTGCTTAACAAGAAGCCCCAAATCTCAGTGACAAAGGGACCCAGAGAAGTTTGCTGGAAAAGAAGCTGAATTCCAGATGAGGTGATACAAAACTATCCCTATCATGGTGGAGATGGGGGTGGGGGCTTCCCTTAGGAACAAGCCTCCTCCCAAGAGAACCTAGACAGTACCTGCTTCACCACGGAGCGCCTTCTCCACAGCGACCCCCCTCTCCTCCAGTTGCCTCTGCTTCTCTTCTACTTGCTCCAGCTGCCGCTGGATAATCTACGAGAAAACAAAACAGTAGAAGCATCCAACTTTCTCTCTTGCCTCCTAGTTCTTAGGAGGACAATTAAACTGCACAATTATAGAAGAAGAAAAACAAATAAGGCTCTAGTCAATGGGCATTAAGCCCAGAGTATGTAGAGACCACAAGCGAGCCTCCCAGGGCCCACTTAACCACGCAGAGCCCGGGCTGTCACCACCCAGCTCCACTGCGTGGGTGCACGGCAAGCATTGAGTGACTAGCCCTTCTCAGGGCAATTCAAAGAGGAAGTGGATGTAAACTGCTGCAGGAAGGACTTAAGTACAACAGCCTACGACCCTCCTGATGGTGAGATTGCTAAAGCACTAGCAGAGTTTCTTGGGGAGAACTGCAGACATCCTGTCTCTACAAGATTAAAAAAAAAAACAAAAACCTAGAATGGAGCAACCAGCCAGAATCTGTATGAAGCACATAGTGAGAAGTTCCTTTGTGTTATGTGGGGACCAACATTGGGCACCTAGAAGAACGTTCAACCCCCAAAGCAGCGGCCAGTGACATATCAATGCAGAGAGTGTGGATATAGCATGATATACAAGAAAAGGACTAAAAGACTGGTGGGTTTTGATGTTTGATGAAACATGGACTACTTCGTTGGTATTTAGATTTGCTGTTAATGTTTCTCATTGCTGTATAGCTTTTGATTAGTGTGCTAATCTTTATGAATATAACTATATACATGTGATTTCATTAAAAATATTGTATTTAAGTATCTTTTAATACTTTACATAAAGAAATTATTTTTTTGTTCCCCGCAAACATCTAAAATGGTCTAGGATCTGTGAGGCCTGCAGACAAAGGCTAATGACCTCTAAATCCCAAGCCCATAATAGGCTGACAGCTCAAGTTTGCCTCTTGATAACAGTTCTTATAATTGAACTAGTTGACTTTGCAGTGATTATTCCAGAGCAAGAAATTTAGAAACTCAAAGCTTGGCTCTTCCCTTTCCATCAACAACTCCACAGTAAGGTTTCTGTAGTTTCATCAAGCCAGACTTTGGGGCTGCCCCTTCAGGTAATGGGACACCCCATTTACTTCTGCCCTGCCCTCCTTACTCTCCCACATCGAGGATGAGGACAAACTGGCTGGAGAGGAGGATGCTGCTATGTGACTTACCCCTTGCAAGTTGTGGCCCCTCCTGGTTTTACCTGGGCTCGGTGCAGCCGCTTAAGTTCCTCTTGCTTGGCCTGTCTCCGAGCTGCCTTCTGCACACGCCGGGTCAGCTTGGCATTCAGTTCTTCCTCCGTGTAAGTTCTTGGCTAGAGAGAACGAGAAACATTTCCTTAGTCAGGTGCATGCAGGCCTGAGAGGTTTGGGCACTGGTTGGCAGGGGCACGGAGGGCACTGTTCCAGGTCGCAGAGCACGCGCAGGGCAGACCGGTGGGCCAGAGGCGAGCGCAGACTCCTAGGCTGAGGCCTGGCCAGAGCTTCACTGGCATTGGTCCCTGCTGGAGCCCTAAATGCCACAGGGGATACCTCAAGCTCTACAAGTGAGATGCTTTCCCACTGTGACAGGTACAGGAGGCTCAGTGGGGGACTGACTGTTAGGGAGTTAACAGGATGAAGGGACATATATATATGCTCCTTTATCATTGAGATCACCTGTTTCCCACATAAGGATGTCTGCTTTTTAAAAGACTTTTGGGGGGTAAAAATATTGGTAAAATGTTTCCCCACACTTCCTGCTTCTAGGAGATAAACGGGGAAAGAAAAAAGAAAAATTAGGATTCTTTTATTTTCTTGTTTGGTCTCAAAAGCCAGTTTTTTTCAGATGAGCAATATTTATAAGGTTCTTTTAAGATATAACAGTTGAAGTACAGAAAACAGGGATGCTCCTATTTTAAGTCTGGGTGAAGCCCAAACTAATTAGTACAGTCTGAAGAAGGAACTATGGAGGTGAACCTAGACTGACTCTGGGGTCTGTACAGAGGCCAAAATAGGCCACAGAAAGGAAGGAGGAAGCCATCTGGCAAGGCTGTTTCAGCCAGTACCATCGGAAACCGAGGAGCAAGTGGCCAAATCCACTGCAATTCCATGGAAGAAACTGCTTGAGCAATACACCCGCCAGTGTAGGCACTGAGGGTGCAGGGAGTATCAGATGGTTTGAATAAACAGGGGGCAACCACTGAGAGGCAAATGCTGGGGGGTAGGCCTCTATTCATAACACTTCTTTATTGCCTCCAAGAAAACAACAACAAAAAGAATTTTATAGACTTTAAAGGAGATTTCAAAATTCAGCTCAGGGGTTTAGTCTAATAATCTTTATTCCAAGAGCTCAAGTGAGAGTGGAGAGCCAACTGAGCAGGTAGTCCTTAAGGATGTGAGTGGTGTTTTGGTGCCCTGAGCATTTCACCTCGCAGATCAGGGAGCTGAGGGCTTGTGGGTTCCCCATTCCTGTAGTGGACAGTCTCAAAGGGCAGCCCTGTCCCCCACTGAGGCACTTGGAACAACATTATCACATGCACTCCAGCCAGCGAAGAGCAGGGTATCTCACCCTGTTTCTCTGTGATGACACAGCTAAAGAAAGTTCTGCTGCCGGTGTTTGCTACTGCTCCATGCATGTATGAACACAGTTAGTGAGGATGTGGCTGGAGGACCAGGACTGGGGGCTGCCCTGGTGGTTAATCACAGACACTCATGCAACAAAGACCAGCCAATGGGAACAACACACTACCTTTGATGCATATGATCTCCTGAATGCCAAGGCGTGTGGTACATAAATCGACTTTTAAGGGGATGGCAACGGTAAACAAAACAGAATAGTAATAATAATAACAATTAAAAAGAGAATACAAATGGAGCAAAATCAGAAGTTTAAAACAAACACAGACTAAAACACATGATTATTTTTCACAACGTCACACAGGACTGCAAGGTGAGGCACCTTGGTAGAGACCCTCGCAGCTGCCTCTCACTGAGTCACAGTCTTACTAAGGCCTGGGCTCACTTTTCTACCGGGAAGACAGCTTCTTCCTCATTGTGCCCCACACCTTCTCTTTTCTCAATCTCCTTTCTGTATAAATTAAAATTGCTTAAATATATTGTTATAGATGCTATTTCTCCTTTAGTAACCCATTTGCTTGTGGAAATTCAGACTGCTTCTTTCAGCTGAATGCTACAGATACTTGGACGGGGGACAGGTAGGAAGTTCCTCTCACCAGAGACACAGACAAGACACAGAGCAAGCTGAGTATCAACCTAATGTTCTCTTCCAAAAGGTTCTCTACTAGCAGGGCTCCAGAAGAAGGTCAGGGGTGCCCAGTGGGCCAACAGCAATCCTGGGATGGGAGTGAGCCATTTTTTACACACAAAGGGACTTGAAATAGCATCTATAACCAATATCTGTCAAAAACATTTCAGGCAGTAATTGTAACCTCTTCTCACTTTAGTAAACCTGCACAGAGATGCTTAGAGAGCTGAGGTTAATTTACATTTGCTCTCTGGTCTTCTCACCAGCTCTATTACATGGAAAAGAGGAAGCCAGGAAGTGAGGGAGAGAGGGAAAGGGAGGTCTGGAGATTTGGAGAGCCTCAGGATGCACTGTAATCCCTGTGGCCCTCGCTGCTTCTCCTGCAGCAGTGGGGGCCCCACGAGTGGAGTCTACATTTCAAGAGCCTATTGGCTTCAAGAAGAATGAGTCTGTCTCCTAGTTGGGACATTTAACTTTGAGTATGTAGATCCTATCTCACACTGACTCGTCTCTCCCAGAGACTATAATGAGAGAAAGAATTACATTACTACAAGTCCGTTAAAGAAAAAAAGACAGATGGTTTCCCCAAGCAGCATGTGAAAATCTCTATAGGAACTACATAACTACAACCTAAGGAATACCACTCAGCATCTCTACCTTGGCTGAAGGAAAAAGTAAAAGTGGTGGGGGCGGTCACTTACTGCTATCTGAGGGGGAAGGAATACTAACTTGGAAGAGGCAGAGACATGAAAAATCACAGCTCATCTGTGGAGTGCCAGGAGAGCGGGACCAGCCACAGAGCCAGTGCTTTTGCTGCAAACCAGGGCTAGGGCCTGTCAGAGAGCAAGTGAATGTGCTCTCTTGGCTTGGCCACAGTGGTCAGGAAGAGGCCACCTCAGTTGTATTTAAAGTCGGATTGAAGTAAAGAAAAGAGGTAAACATGAGTTAATTCTTGTTAGTAAGGCTACATACAAGGTAACTTAAAAAAATCTGTATTATCTTAATTTTTCTATATAAACATTTTAAATAAAAATGTTATTTTTAGTGTTTTTTTTTTTTAAATGAAACAAAACTTAGGCACTTGTTTCACAGATGCCTCACTCAGGGGTGGGTCTGTGATGTAAAAGGAACCATTTCACACCCTGTGGGGCACTGTTAACAAGAGGCTCCCTCCTGAGTCGATCAAACCCCATTCTCACTTTAGGTGTTCCCACACTCCCCTTACTTCTTACTCTGAAAAATTTCAAGCCTAAAGAAAAGTTGAAAGAGGAAGAAAATGAACACCTTCACCTAGATTTACTAAGTGTCAGCGTTTTGCACACGTTTGGCAGACAATCTTTGTGTATCATCTTTTTTTCTGAATCTCTTGCAGACAATCATGCAATCATGATGCTTCACCCCTAAACATTTCAGCTTGTACTTCCTAATAACAGAGACACTATTCTACATGACTATAGTAATTTAATAGCTTTCAAGGAATTTAGCATTGCTATGACTATATTATATATCTGTGCATATTACACTGTTCATAAGCAAATTTCTTTAATTATTTTCAAAGTATCCTTCATGGCTGTTTTATTTTGGTTTGTTTTCCTGCTTTAGCATTCTTAAAAATACACTACCTTGCTCTGGCCCGCCCCACCCCTGACCACAGTTGGGGGCAGGTCAGCATGCCCCAGGCTTGGCTTTGTCTTTACTATTCCCTATACTGCCTTCAGCAAATGGCTCTGCACGGGCGCACGGGCGCGCGTGCGTGCGTGCGTGCGTGCGTGCGTGCGTGCGTGTGTGTGTAGGTGGGGGGACGGGTAGGGTGGGGGGGAAAAGGAGACATGAGGTGCTGGGATTCTAGGAGTGGGGTCCATGACCTGTCATTCACATAGACGGGGAGGAGTTCTCTGCGTGCCCCAGGCCTGTGAGGCCCGGGGAGAGGATATGATCGGTGAGATGTGTTACAGAGACAATGGCCTTGGCGTAGCCAGTTGGGCAACCTGCCACTCAGCATTTTGCCAGGATGTTTCATTAATTAATAGAGAAACAGTGGAAGAGATCTGACCACAAAAGCAGCCACAGGTGAAAGTTTTTGACCAACATGAGACAAAAGGGCTGAATACCTGCAGGTCTGCACTGAGGCAAAGGAAAACTTGGACCACATTCTCCTTCTTCGCAGACCCCCTTTAGGATCCCCATAAGGCAGTGCCAGTCCCCAGTGTTGGGATGTGTTTAGGGATCCACATTCAGAGCCAGTAGAAATTCTCAGCTTAGTGCTAATGATACTGTCTGGGAAAGCACAAAATGGAACACAGATAGCAGCACACGAAGCCAGGTCCCTATGGGAGAGTACATAGGACCAGCCTTAACTCAGTGTGGCCTGGCTGGGACATGTGGAAGTTCTGCAGATGGCTGGGACGGGATGAGAGGCCTGACTATCTAGGTGCTCTTCTAAGAGTGGACAGAGAAGTAGTCGGCATGGGGATGAACAAATCATGAATGAAATAAGAACTAAAAGACTGGTTTCCTCTGGTTTGTCAAAAATTAAAAGGAGAACTGGATCAGGCTGGAAGGAGGGGACTGGAAACAGGCCACAGAAGTCATGTTACTGAACAGGCATATGTACGGCTCAAAACTGCCATGGCCTCCCCAGAAGTCACTGGAGAGGGCAGGCTTAAAGCCTTGTAAAGAAGGTCCAGGATGTTCTGGGGAAATTTTTCAGTCAAAAAAGGTAGCTGAAGGCAGCTGGGCCCTCACCTTGGACAGGAAGATGAATGTGTGCCCAAGGCTGGACTATGGAGATGGGGTGGGAAGGCTCTCATTGACCCTCATGCCCCTGCTGCCTTGGCCTTTCTAGATTGTAGTCCTCATGTCATCACGGTCTGAGACACAGATGCCCATTTAGAACTTTCTAAACCCTCTCCCTCTTCCAATTTCACTATCTAGACAAAGCTACGAGAGCTCTTAAAAATCAAAAGATTGAACAAATACCCAAGAAAGGCTAGTGATGAAGGAACTCTCAAATGCTGAGGGTTCACGTCTCTGAGAGCTGAGTGGACACATTGTGTCCTGAGCCTGGGGCAGTGAAAGGGGCCAGGTCAGATCCACAGTGCCCCACTCAGCACAGAACCCAGGTTAGTTTCCTGGTGCAGTTCTTTAATAGCAAAACTCCTCTCTAATGTACAAATGTACCAAGCAGGCAGGACAGCAGGGGATACTCCTCAGTGACTGGGCCCCCATCCCGGCCTTTGCTGGACCCTGGGCACAAGCAATCCTCCTCCTGTCACTCTGGGCACTGGTGTATTCTACTCCACGTGGGATTTCTGAAGACAAAAGAATGAATGGAAAATACTGAGCTGCTTCCTAAAAACAGAATGAATCTTGGAGCACGGGATGTCTGTCTTCACAAGAACTATGGCCACGGAAGCAAATAACCCTCAGCTGCTCCCTGAAAAAGCCTAAGAGAAGTCCCTGATATGTCTCCTAATTAGACTACTAGGCGGGCTCAGGATTCAGCTGTATGTCTGCTAGGAGACCAGAGAGAGCTCATGCCCGTTCCTGGTTTGGGATTTGCTTTCCTTTCCTCCACCTCATCAAAACCAATACTCGACAGAAGACAGAAGTCAAGGTCCTTGACCCCGCTGAAGCCCCACTGCTGACGGGGCCTGCATACCTCTCGCTTGGACTTCTGGGAGGCCCTCTCAAGGATGTCATCACTGGAGAGGTCAGAGTCCTCGGAGAAACTCAGCTGGCGCCGGAGCTGCAGCTCTGAGGGAATGCAGAGTGAGTACAGTGACCAGCCCGTCAGTACCACAGTGCTTCCCGATTTCTACGTTCATATAAGCAGCCCAGGAGAGTGGGGTGGAGGTTTGATTTCTCTCTAGTTTAAGTGACTTCCCATATTGGGGCACCAGGAGCTTGGATGCTGACATTTGTCCAGGCAGAGGCGGACCAATACTGAATAGATGGTGCCCAAAGACAGCCTACCAGGATCTTCCGGCAGCATTGCCTTTATTTGAAATGATGTGACTTTAGGAAGTGCACATTCCTCCCATCTCCCCTACTCAGCTTCAGGATGGTTTTTAGAATTATTCTATTAAGTGAAGCATGCTCTGTTTCCTTCTCCCTGCCCTGTCAGCAGAGCTCTAAGAACCCTTGAAGGAGCAGCGTGGGGAAGGGAATCTTTTGAGAAGAACCAAATGATGGGAGAATATACACCTTATGCTCTGCCCCAGTAGGGGTCCCTTGGTGCTGACATACCTGCTCTAACCATCGGAGACATCCTGTGCTTGCCAGAGTCCACGGTGGCACCACTGGAAGGGGTGCTGGAGCAAGACTTGTTGTCGCCCTTCTTCTTCTTATCTTTCTTATACCCAGAGAAGACCGACTTCCACAAGGACCGGGGCTTGGAGGCTGCTTCCTCCAGGTTTGGGCTGGGCTTCTCCGGGGGCCGGCCCTCACCTTTGGACTTCCTCTCCTTCTTGTTTCTGCGGGGGGAGAAGAGTGATGATCTCTTCTTGCTCTTTCCACTGGAACCCTCAGATGAGGTGACTGAACCGTCTGGGCCCCCTGAGTCCGACGGAGGGAAGATCTCCTCACTAGTGGCTTCATGCCTCAGGGTGGGCTCATCTGGGCCTTTGTGGATTGGGTATTCAGGGGACTCGAGACTGAGGACTTTGCCCTTGGAGGGTACTGAGGAGGCTTTGTGGGAAGTGCCTCCTGGGGGCCTGGTGGTCCCAGCTGTCATCTCCATCTCCTTCATCTGACTCAGCTGTTTGGCCATGGCATCTCTCAGTGCCTGGCTCTTCACGGACTTCTCCCTGGCGCGCATGCGCTCCTCAGCCAGCTCCTTGGCTTGGGGAGAGACTACAGGCAGCCCTCTCTTCTGTGGTTGGATCCCACTCTCCAGAGTAGGCAACCTACCACTTTCCTTGGCTAGGGGTGGGTGGAGAGGCTTTTCTGAGCGGAGCAAGCAGGAAGGGGGTGTGAAGAACTTCTCTTGCAGACTTGAGTCTTCGGTCTTGTCATCATATGTATCCTCCACATCATCAGCAAAAGGGATCTCGTCTACACTCTCTACAAATGACTTTCGCACCTCCTCCCGGGGAGGCTTGGCAGGTTCTCGGAGGGGCCGCATAAAGGTGGCAGGTGGAGGGGGTGGGGTCACAGAGGCCTTGGGCTTGGTTTCCTTGTGCTCATATGTCTGATACAGCTTCCTTCGAAGAGTTGCAGGCTCCTCGTCCTGGGGTGGGGGCGGGGGCGGGCTCGAGGGTGGAGTGAGCATGGTGGAGTCTGAGGTGTTGAAGCTCTGGCTGCCCAAGGTCTTCATGTTGGAGGAGCTCCCGTGAAGGCCCAGCCCAGAGCTGCTGGACAGGTCTCTCTGCTCCTCGTGGGAGCTTTTCAGCTCTCTGTCAGACGGGGACTTAGGGGACGGCAGGGAGGACTGGTCGCCATTCAACTTTGCCAGGCCCAGTCTCTTAGGAGCAGGTGGAGGTTTTAGAAGATGGAGCCCCTCACCCTGGGGGTACTTCTCAACTGAATAGGATTTTAGGGACACCGGCTTAAAGGCAGGTGACGGGAAGCTGGGCTCTGGCCCCTTGCTCCGATCCACGGGTGTGAGGCCGAGGCTGCGGCGGATTTCGGCGCTCTTCATCCAGAACTCCGCCACCAGGTCGTTCCGCTTCAGGGCCTCGTCCATTGCAAGCGGGCTGCCGAGACCATCCTTGGCATCCCCTTGGTTCTTCAAGGGGAGAGGGGATAGGGGAGTGGATGCTTTGGCTGGAACAGGCTGGAAGCATATGGGGGACTTGGTGGGGGATGGGACAGTGGCCTCAGAGGAAGGCTGAGGCTGGGAGCAAATGGGGAGCTGGGTGGGCGTGGCAGTGGAGGTGGCCAACGGGGACAGGCCCTGTGAAGTAACGGGGGAGGTAGGTGTCATGGCTTCTGGCAGAGCCACCGGCTGCGACCGGATGGGAGAATGCAGGGCTTTCTGATCAGTGGGAGCTTCGGTTCTGGGGACCAAATGTTCAGGGAAAAGGTGCTCCTCAGGGGATTTCACCTTGGTAGCCACAGAGGTATGAGGGATTCGTGCTCCCTATAGAAAACAAAGACAGATGGAAGCTGCTTAAAAGGCAGAGATTTAATAGGCAGCAGCAAAGATTCCTTAGGGAGTTTTCTCTCTCAAAGGGCCTGTGCTTATTAAAATAAATTCCTCTCTCTGTCCTCTAAGCTATTATTCAAATGGTACCAGGAGAACCTTTCTCACTTTCTGCAATTTTTAGAATCACTCTGCTTAGTTCAACAGACTGAGCTTTCAGGGTTTGGTCCATCTCAAACACATCCTATACTCTAAATGCACTGAAGTGAATGCTGGCCAGAGGATACTAATGAATTCAGCTCTTACTTCCCACCATCAGCCCCAAGGGCTCCAAGATTTCTGATGTATGAATATAGTGGCCAACATTGTAAGAAGATTTAAAGCAGGTATTTTTTGCTGTCTGTATTATAAACTGTCCTCCCCAGGAAGCTCAAAGATTCAGATATTCCCGCATGAATCCTTATACCGCCCCGTCCATACATCTCAGTAAAGGTTCCCCATTTTACAGATGAAATCACCAAATTCATCTTGCTTCTTAAAATCCCAAAGAACAAATCAAGCAGACCCAGTCTTGAGTTTAGACCTCCCTCCTTGATCTCTCCTCCAGAAAGTCTTCCAAAACATGTTCCATGGAACATATTGTTACTAGCTATTTACATAGCATTCTCCAATGTGTGGTTCACATACCACTGGCAATGTGGATATATATCTTTAATTTTAAAAGTCATAATTCATTTTAACATAATAAATAAATGCATCTATCATATTGAACCAATGATTGCACAGATATTGTTGCTTTAACTAAAAAAAAGTTTTTAAAACAGTGGTATATGGACATGACAGAAAGAAACACAGTAGAAGGATGACTCAGGTTTGGAGTTGGTACAGAGCAGAGTTAGGGAGATGCTGCCCAAACTGCCTCAGTCTGGTGAGGACTGAGCTGGAACACCAAGGCCACTCCTGTTTTCAACAGCCCCACTTAGCAAAAAGAAAAAAAAAAAAAGAGGCTCACATAAAGGGCCTTAAAATGAAATTAACATGTCCACTCAGGGTTCCATCAGCTCTGTCTCTGACAGTGAGCCCATACACTTACCTCTGCCATGGGGCTGTGGACTGGGGAGAACAGAACAGCCTGCTCTACAGGGGACCAGGTGGGACTGGAGACTCGGGAGGGATCTGAAAAGAAGAGACACAAGATTGATAAGAGGAAACACTCCACTCCCACTGAAGGCACCTCTCCCAGCCAGCTCCACAGTGAGGGAGCACCTGCAGAGACTGAAAGGAAAGCAAAGGGAACATCCTTCCCCAGGGCACCCCATATGCAACTTCTGCTCTTGTCAGGAGTGCTGGCTTTTTGTCATGTGTATGGTCTGTGTTCGAAGCTTTGAGATGTACCTTCTACCTTTTTATACCTCAAATAACATACAGAGAGGGGCTGTGTGTACAGCCATGTGCAGGGCCCATGCACAGTGACGGGGAGGAGGCCATTTGGAAGCCAGCGTGCAGTGTGCAGGCTCTGCTCGAGGACCTATGCCCTTGGTGCCACTCGTCTTCACGTGGCTCTCACTAGGAATTCTGGGAGTGGCTTCTCCTGCAATAGTGGACCCACCTCTCTCTTGGCGCCATGCTGTGACAGAGGGTTGCTCTTCCTCATTTTCTGAGACCCTCAGCTGTAGCTCCGCTTCGGCATCTGATGGGACATCGACAGACCAGTGCTGATCTGGCAGAGGGAAGGGAGAACACAAAACTCGTGTTAGGCCATGTTCCTTTCCAGTCTCCTGCCTTCCTTGGAGAACAGCACAACGACTGCAGGCCTGGATCTGGCTCCTTACCCCAGCTGGGCCTTTCCTGATGGTCCCCACCCAGGTTCTCACACTTGGCCAAAGCACATCATCCTCTGCAACTCTCTTCAAAGCCCATGGTGCTCCACTTTCTTTTGCAATACAGCCAGATGACGTGACAGGCCACGACAGGAAGCAGCACACTGGGCATGCCTGTGGCGGGGCAGGACTTGCTTCCTGGGCCTACTGCCCGTGTTTCTCTCTTGTTAGCACTTCCCGGCCCTGCCACCCCAACACCAGTCAAGGCCTCTGCTGCCTCACAATCTTGCCTGAACTATTCTCATTTTTCCCAGCCTAGTCTCTGCTCCTTGTTTCCCAACAAACCAGACTATAATTCTTAAAATACCATCTCCTTGTACCTAGCTTTCAGAGAGCATTTGCTCAGTTTCTGAACCACAACTATGAATGCAGGCTTTGTCAAATGGTAGCTTATGGGTGGGTGAAATTACACACATTCAAGTTAATGGCAGAATAAGGAACGAACCAGAACAGCAGTTGGCTGCTTCCCCTGAGCTCCCTGCTTCTGTTTAATGTGTACTGTTTTTATCTCTCCTGAGTTCAAAGCACTCTGACCTGTCCCCCAGTGGAGAACAAAAAGGGTAACCATGAAGGTGGAGAGGGGAGGCGCTGGGGACCCCCATACCATCATCCAGCTCAGCACCAGTGTCCCCAGTGTCCCCATTCTCTGCTGCCTCCCCTTCTATCTCTGCTGGCTCCGAGTCCACATCTTCCTCCAGGTCATTCTCATCAAATGGGACTGTAAAGCAGAAACAGTCAAAGGAAGGAAGAAAAGGAAAGACAGAAGGACAGGCAGACTGCCTTTGCAGGTGGGAAAGCTACAGTAGTGCTTCTCCCATGGCCATATGAAGGCCACCAAGAGAAGCGAGAGGAAAAACTCTGAAGTATTTGGATTTAGACCCAAAGGTGGACCCTAAGGTGAAGTCAGTCAGACCTGGGCCCTTTCTAAATACCTGAGACTAGCATTTCTTGGCAAGCCGGGCCAAGTGGAAGGGGAAGAGCAGCTTAAGTCCAGTCATTTTCCTCTTCCTCAAGAGGCTGCTGTAAGAGCCCTGATTTGAGAAGGACAGAAGGGAAAAAGCTGCTTCTCCAGGCCCAGGCCCGGCAGGCATTCAGCTGTAAAATCAGCAGCAACAGCTTACAGGCTAAGCACTGTGTTGACCGCTTCACATGTCACGAGTCATTTAATACAATTAGAGGGACCATTTCTAATTCCTATCAGGGAGAAAACTGAGGCCCAGACAGCTTAGGTAACTTATCATGGTCGCACTGCTCAATCTAGCAGTTGCAGTGTTATGTGTAGGTGAAATCTCTGTTGGAGGAGTGACCAACAAAACTGCCCAGTGCCCCATGCCTCCCTTTCAAGTGGCAGAGGTGGCAGCTTTGCTTGGATTAATTTAGAGAAAATACTTTTCTAAAGCATAATGGAGAAGGTGAGGGGATATGTAAAGTTCATTTACTGGACTCATTTTACAGTGCTGCAAAATGAGGCAAAGCTCTAATCAACTTCACTTTTCCTGAGAAGGAACCAGCCCTAAACACACACACACACACACACACACACACTCACTCACTCACTCACTCACTCACTCACTCACTGTCTTCTCCCAGCCTCTGCGAACTAAGAACTCACACTAACAGTCTGGAGTAAGAGAAAGCAATTAAGAAAGCAACGAGCACTGCTTTAAAGGATGCTGTGAAATACCAGTGCTACCCAAGACTAACAGTATCCATTTGTCAGGGTTCCTAAGAGCTTCTCTAGGGTTCTAAGCATAGCCATCTTCATATCATACTTAAACATTTTCATTTCAGGAAAAGAAGTTATGCTCTAGTTTGCATATACAAGAGCCTGAGGATCAAAGCTCAAGGGAGGATGGTTGGCAGAGGAACTTGCTGTGTCACAGCTGGATGGACTTCTTACAAGGCTGTGCCGATGCAAAGGCAATGACCAGGTCAATGTCTCCTCACAGGCCAGCTTCGTGAATCTGCAGTGAGTGTGGCACAAACACTGAGAGTAGCCACTGAGGTCAGTGTACAATGAAAATCAAAGAAGTGCCTGCCTTTGAGGGGGCGAGGAGAGAGGGAAGAAGCACCTTGATCATGCTGGTAATGTTTTATTTCTTGGCCCAGGTGGTAGTTACATGAGTTTTTGCTTTTAATAATTCCTTAAGTTATATACTCTTCTAACCGCCTCTTGTGTATACTGACCTTACTAAAACTAAGGTGCTGGTTCACATCTAGTTTTGGAGAACTGTACGAAAGAGGTTTGGAATAACAGTCCAGGTTCCGGGGAGAGATGGGAGAGTTCCAAGACAAGTTCTACGCTGGCAAATAGCTAATGTCACATTCCTTCTCTGAGATAGCACAGCAGACCATGAAGCTGGCAATGCCAAGATACTTTCTATATGAAAGTAGCATCTTCTGGGAAAATACTGGGGGAAACTATGCAAATATTTCCACAGGCTCAAAACTTCTGTATGGTAATACTACAGTTGGTCACTCAAGAAAGTCAGTTCATCAATGCCAGGGAGTGGGACTTCTGAGGCACAAACAAGTCTCTGTGCTCCTTCCACCTGACCTTTCTGTCTCAAGAGTGAGTTCTTTGTTGCACTACACCATTGCCGAGAAGGCTGGCAGACACCTCTCCTCCCCAAGATTCTTTCTCCTTTGTAGCCATCCCAACCCAGTGAGAAGAGAGCTTGGATGTGTTGTAGAGAGGGCTTATTGTGCCAACATGTGTGCTGGGAAGGCTGTGTGAGTGCCTGGGTATTGAGGGGGCAATTTTGCATGGTTGTTGGCAAGTATACAGGAAGCAAGCACAGAGGATACTAAGGCCCAGGATGCCCAGTGCACAAGGCACATTGCACCAGATCGGCCTCATTCCAGTCCTGGCCCCTTGCCCTCATGTGCTTCTCCTAATTAAGAATCTCTACTAAGAACTGTTTACTGGGGAGTCAAAAGGGTGAGAAGCCTACAGTCTACAGGAGCACTCTGAGAGGAACAATTGTCAAAATTATCCAAAACAAACAAATGAGGAATATCAACACAGCAGTAGCAGATGTTGAAAGAGATGCAGCTTGAGGGATGCAACTGGGGGATTAAATCCAAGTTAAGATGGAGTGCAGGGTGCTAGAAGCTGCCGCATACTACAGAAGCCAAGAATCGCTGCCACACTTAGCTCTTGGTTTATCTCAGCTGCCAGCTAGGAAGTCCTGACACCTTAGCCTTGTCCAACCATCCTGGGGACACAAACTAACTAGGAGAGTGTGACCAGCAGTTTCTGTTCACAGAGCTAAGGGCTCTCCCTGTGGCTCTGTGGGAAGGTACCTCCTGACTGTGTGCTAGTGTCCATTCACCCAGCTGCCTATGAGGGCAATGAGTTGACCTGGTAAGAGGCTGGTGGCAAGATCCATGAGCTCCAATTCTGCCCAATCCAGGAGTAACCGCTGGGACAGTGGTTCTTATGAGGGGCACTACTACCCTTCTTCGACAGGTTATCTGGTATTATGCAGAGGCGTTTGGGTTGTTCTATAACTGGGGAGGGCGGGGGGAGGCTACACTACTGACATTTGAAGAGCAGAGGCCAAGGATGTTGAATGTCTTGCAAAGAACTGTCATGTCTAAAATGCCAGGAACCCCTTTGAAGGGGAATGCCTCTCCAGAAAAGTTTAGGAAAGACAACCAAGGCTTCTCAGCTACTTCTTGGCTTAAGTACTTAAAGAGATACATGCACCTCAGTCCGAAGAACCAGCTGATGCTATATCTGGTTATGTCCAGCCTGTCCCTCTCTTTAGCTGAACATCTGCCAACCCTCTGCATTCCCCTTTTTACTGATAAGTTTTCCACAAGTTGCCCTGAGTATTGCCTCCTTCTCTTATACTTCGGTAGGTTTGTGGAATATTAACTGACTCCTCTACTTTCACTCTCAATTTCTACAGACTTTAGATCTCAGTGCTAAAAATGTTCCTTTAGCTTTGGCCTTTACCACTATTAATTAAAATAAATGTTTGCTTCTGTTCTGTCTATACTATTGCTTGCCTCTGGTCTTCCCTGAAAGGGTGTGGGGTGTGTGTCTTGTCCATGCAAAGATGGGCTGCCTGAGTGAGGCATGCATGTGCCCCCACCCTCCGCCCTCGGCATGCACTAGCAGCAGGACCAGAATTCTAGTGTTAAGGTATCAGCACAGCTGCCGAGAGAGAGTTGTTATGGTGAGCAGGGAGAGAACAAACATCACCAGACTACCTCCGGAGACCGTCTCCAGCCAGGCCTGCACTGCTGCACGGCGTATGGAAGGAAGGTCAGGCACTGAATTTAAAACAGATGATAAATACAAAGTTACACAGGAATAAATGTTCCCAGTGAGGAGAGTCAAGTCCAAAACAGAAGGAAAACTGAGATGATGTTAACAGCCAGAGGCCCGTTCGGCACTGAGGAGGGAACCAGTCCCATTGCGAGCCTATGTGATAGGTATTCAGGATGAAGAAAAGAGGAAAAACACAGGGAGGGTCAATATGGGCTTACAGCTGCAGAGCTCGCCCCAACTTACAGGCCAGTCTGAGGCCCCTGGTCAGCAGGGTCTCTCTCCTCCATTCCTGCCTGTTCAAGTTCTCAAACAAGGAGTGTGGCTTTACTAATAGATTGTGGAGGAAGTAATTTACACTGTTGGGTTTTTTGCCCTCTTCTTTCCTTTTTCTTTAACAACCCATTGTTAAGAGGTTGGTCCTGCCTATAGGTGAAGAATTGGGGTTGGGGAGGATCAAATGCTCACATTAAAGGCTGTTTCATGAATGCAGGTACCACTGCCTTGTATACTCAGAGCCTTGTGGGGTGCGTGACCCTAATGGTCACTGAATGGAAACAAAGATATGTGAGCGAGAGACATAAGTTGATGGTACCAAAGTTCTGTATCTGGAATACAGGTACGCTGAGGATGGAAGGTGTGAGAATGACATGCAGCCACCCTCAATTCTTGATTTTTTTTTTTACTACCTGCTATTTCTTAAAAGAAGCCAAAATAAGGTTCATTTTTATTCTACTGTGGAATATAGATCATCTCACCTACAACCTAGAGCTGGAAATTATGTCAGGTACTTCAGAGGCCTCCTTGATATACATCTCTTCTTAAAACTTCGTTTCCATTCAAACTATGCTCCCCCTTCCCCCATCCTGCCGATGCATTCACATCCAGACATACTCCATGAAGAAAGCACCAGAACATTCTACCAAGTGGAGAAAGAGTAACCCTGCCTAATAATATGAGGGGAAAAACGCAAATTCTTGGTTTTCTTAAGATCAAGTTCATCTTACTACTTTGCATCAGTGGCCAAAGAGCCCATAAGCTCTTAACCCACAGAGAACTTTACATATCCTCAAGAAAAAGCCTAGGTCATGGTTAACATCAGGAAAATGAAATGTTCTGTCAGCTCTTACTTTTGATCAAACTGATGGCTTTGACCCTAACAGAAAAGTTCTTTGCAACGAAAGAGGGTGCAGGGATGGAAGATGCTCCTGGGGGCACCAGGACCTTGGATCCTGAAGCAGTTACCTCTAGAAGTAGAGGACTCAGAGGTCGGTACCATTCGCTCCTCCTCCTCTTTCTCACGAACATGCGTCCAGTGCACGTCAGCCTGGATCTCCAAGGGATCGGCTGCGTTTATGATCTGCTGTAGCCTCTGGCTCCCGGCTACTGTACCAGGTTCGAGGGGTGAAGGAGATGAGGAAGGGAAAGATGATGGGGAGGAAGGAAGGAGAAAATAAACAGTCAAGGGAAGGAAGGAATGAAACACCACAGGAAAGGAAACAAAGAAAAGTTATCGTTTTTGCCAGGATCAGTTAGAATAGGAAAGAGGCAAAAATTGAGAATATGCATACATACACAGGCACACGATAGGCGATTTCTACTCATCCAACTGCATTTCAAGTTTCACATACACTGTTCATTTCATTGAGAATCATACATTCAACTTCAATGCAGAAAGAACTTTCCTTTCTGATACTCTTCACATGACTGCATTTGAGGGATCCAAATGCCCAGTCAGGAAAAAAGAGCAGGTTACAACTGGCCTCGCTGTCCCTCAGGAGGTCATGAGTACTTAGCTGTTACTCAGCACAGTGGGAGATCGCCGAGGATGCACCATTCATGCCCCTTCTGTTGGACACACAGCAAGGTGCTGCTATCTGCCATGTTGACAGCTTCTCCTTTGCGATTTGAATCAAGTAACGAGAGGGGTGGGATGGGACAGTGTCATTCTGCCATGAGACAGCCAGTTCACACAGGACAGAAATTTACTTTCTTGGTACTTTGGTTTTTATCCACTGCAGCTAGAGAGAAAAAGATCTCCCTCCACAATAGGCCTCATGCTGCATGCTGGTCTATGGCAGGGACAGCTACAGGGACAGGATGGAGTTAGGGGAGGCAGGGCTAGGAGAGGAAGCAGAGCTCTATCCTGTAGATTCCCAAAGCTTTGGCAGTTCACTGGAAGAAATAAGACAACACCTCTGTTTTTTCCAAGGTCAAAGCCTTTTTTCTTAAAACCCCACTTGGTGCCCTGCTGATCCCCTCTGGACACAACATCTAGTTTCTTAGCTAAATGAGAACTCACCAGTGGCTCCTTCAGATTATTCTTTCAGTCAGAGCCCAGGGGATCTGCATGCAGCCGCTACCCTGTGGGCTCCCTATAATCAGTGTGTGGACCATGCCATACAGTTCGGTTAAAACAAAGGAACAGCCGGCAACTTAGGGGAGAACACTACAGAAGGGAGGATGGCTTTTCGATAAGCAAGAGCAGGTGCCACCTGATCTGAAGGACTCGGGTTTCCGATGGGAGCCCACTCTCAACAACCTAGATGGACAATCTGCTTTGGCTTCATTACTATAACGACAACTTCTTAATTTTCAAGCAACAGGGAATGTGATATGGGTAGAAAGCGCCAATACAATCACCAAATGTGGATGTGGGCACTAACGCCGTGTGCAATGCAGGGCTGCTGGTCGCTACAGATTCATGGATTTTTTCTAAGGTCAGCTGGCCTTTATGGTGCTGCATGGGGCTGAATCACAGCAAAGTCACCAAATGTCTTATGACTAAAGAAAATAAGTCAAAGAGAAAACACGTAGGGCCTTTCTTCATCTTCATGGCAACAAAGGGAAGAGAGGGAGTCTTCTCCCTAGATAATGTTCTGCTTCCTGTTAATAATGGAAGCCTTTGGGATTTATCTGCCAGCACTTCCTCCTCTCTCAGAGAAATGTTAAAAGGCACAGTGGAGGGAGCTTCTGAGCATATGAACCACTTTTGAGAATTGTGACTGTGACATAAAATTTTCTGCATCAGAGAAAACACCAAGTGATGAAGAGAACTTGCAGCAGAACATACGAGGGGCACAGATGGGGCCACATTTAGTAAGGCTGCTTCTGGAGACTTCTCTGACTTCCTCTTTAATCTCTTCGTCTCACATGCTATTTTGTACATGACCATATGTGAAGGTTGGGCCCAGGAATATGTGCCAAAGCCTGTCAGTGTAGCTCTATAAAATACAGATCTTTTCATGTGGGACCTGCTCTTGGAGGCAGATTTTGGATGGCTGCCAGGGAGCCAGGGTAGAAGGTGGGCAAGGGACAGAGTGGGTACCTTTACATGTACCCGAATCTTCTTTCTTTGACAGATGCTGGAGCCACTGGCCTTGCAGGAGTTCTTTGTCCCAGGGGCAATACTCCCCTTCTACAGCAGGGGAAGCCAGACACCCACAAACACAGCATCAAGAATCCCGCATGGGGATAAACAGAGAGAAAAGAGATGGAGGGAGGAAAGAGAAGAGAAAGAAGAGTTATCTTCAGCGGAAAGGCAATAACGTCCTGTCACTTTCTACACAGGTATCGAAATCCACTGCTCAAGACACCACCGGCAAGAACAAAGGCCCAGTGTTTGGCTGAATTTGTCAGTATGAGCTTCTCAAATTAAAGCTCATTCCCTGCACATTTGGTTTTCACGCCAGATCCAGGTCCAGGAAATTAAGTCTACTCGATGGAAGGCAGGGTTAACCTCCCCTGAAAAGGAAACAGGCTGTGACCCTAAGCCATGTCTGGGGCTAGAAGCTTCTGAGCATATTAATCGCCAGATAGAGACAATGATGTCTGGAATGATATAAACAAAATACCTTTCCCTGAAAGAGCTGTGAACATGCTCACCCTCTGACTAGCAGGAACGCAGCGGGCAGGGGCACCACTGGGCCAGCCATGGCATTGTAGACATAGCAAGTGGAGAAAAGAACCCAGTTCCAGCTTCTGGACTAAGAGCTTGCCTCCTTCTTGCACATAAAACACAGCGAAGAGGGAAGGACAGGACACGGAGCGAGCTGCCTTGGGGTCCTGGCCCAGCCCACATCTTTGGCAGGAAAAGTGCAGGTAGGAGAACCAGGTCTAGAGAAGCTTCTTATGGAGCCTGAGGAAGGGCCTGGCCTCTGATGTGGGCACCTCAGGGTCAGGAGGAGCAGGTCCTTCCTTCTTGCCTGCTTTGCCTCATCAGGGCCAGTGTCTCAGAGCCACACAGCTCTCCGAGACTGGCTGTATAACAGACCCTGGGATGGACCGGGCAGCCGAGCACATCTAATTGCAGGAAGAGCAGAGACAAGTGCAAGGAGTGGCAGAGCCATCTAGTGCCAACTCCACGTGGTCCAGGCTGTCCAGAACTGACTGCTCCTTTAACGGCTGGGAGGAACTGGCGCTTAAAGGCCCACACCCTTCTCCTCCATGCCACACCCTCTTTCTAGAGAGCACACAGTGAACGGACATAGCACAGTCCTCAGGTGGACTCGGGTCTCCACCTGCCTTATTTCTTCTTTACTACTCGCCAGACCTCTGTGTAGCCAAGATGACCCAGGGAAAGAATGACCCTCTCTCTTACACAGGCAAGAAAAGGAGGCAAGTTCTTTCTCATTCACTCAAAGATACACAGAGGCAGAGATAGGGACAGAGTTGAAACATCCTGAGTCTAAATGAGAGAACATTTCAGAGCCAACCAGACCAACTCAGCACTGAACCTGACACTCCTCCTCAGGACACTGCTATGTGTCACTAACTTGGCCCCATCTAGTGGATACGTAGCTCACAGCTCCCTCTTCAGTGACAGTGGCTCTGAACTACTGAGATTCAATGCTTTGCAGCCTCCAATATTGAGGTCTAGGAGTCAGGGAATCCTCTAGAAAGCTAAATTCCCTTTCTTTATTAAAATAAATTTTATTAACTGAAACCAAAGGGAAAAAAAGAGAAAAATGAGAACGAGAAACCTAATTTAGAGGAAGTCCTCGCACTGGCCCTCTACCTTCCACTTCCAATTTCAACTCAGAATGTGCATAAGGGACACTATTCCCATTGCCAACGTTATCCTCTGCCCTTACATCCAAGAGAGCAGCAGAAAGGATGTCTTGGGCTCTGTGAGGGCATGTCCCTGTGACTCCAGCCATGGAAACCTCTGAGGCACAGAACAGGCTGTCTCAGGGATGGACGGGGTCTGAGATAGGAGAAGGGACTGCTTGCTGACCTTCACTAGACTCCTCCTCTTCTTCCTCCTCCTCGCCGTAGTCCTCCTCGTCCTCCTCTTCCTCATACTCCTCCTCTTCGTCATTACCAGGCTCGCAGCTCTTTGAGGCCTCCAGCTCCTCTTGACTCTTTCCTTTTAGAAGAGCATGGATCCTTACAGCCTCCTTCCAAGGAACGCCACCCAGATCTGAGGTGGGCAGCGGAGGCTCCTCCTCCTCCTCCTCCATCTCGGACTCAGAACTGCTGTGGGAAACAACCATACAACCAAAGTGAGGGAATGACAAAATCGAGAAGGGGACAGTTAAAAGCCACAACCGAAAGCAAAATATCCCAGCAAAGCACCTGCTGGGCAGGAAAGGAGAGGACACCCTTGGAGAGGCCGGCCTGCTTCCCTGCCTAGGTACGACACATGAGGGTACAGGAGGAGAGAGAACAGACAGCAAGATGGCACACACACGTGCGAGCAACCTTGACATAACCCATGTGAGCAAATGGCCCATTTGGTGAGTGCTCTGTTCAGAGTCCAGTCTCATGGAGGCCCTCAGAGGCTGTAAGGCATGGATCCGTTTTGATATAAACTCATGACCTCAGGAATCAAGAATGGAGAGGAAGTCTCCTTTCATTGTGATCCACTATTTGGTTTGAGGAACTCAATTCTACTTGACTCAGATGGGTTGAAAGGCTCTTGTGAGAGCCATGGTAGGGCAGGAGGAGCCACAAGAGGCTGAATGAAGTCTTAACCACAGATTCCAAGGATGATAACAACAGTGATGACCAGCACTCATTGTGCCCTGGTGACATGCGCCATGGCACAAGACATTGCACATGGATTAGCTCATGTAATTACACCATAACTCTAAGACACGGCTACTATGATTATCCCCATTCTCACAAACAAGGAAATGAATGTAAAGAGGCTTGGTCATTTGTGTGAAAAGTCAGGATTCCCTTCAGCATCCACACCATCTCATGCTGTGCCCTCTTGGGTGGTTCTCCAGAAAACTAAGAGTTCTTAAGCCACTTGCAGATGGCAGGGTGGCAAATCAGGAGGAGGATCATGAACAGGTTCCTGGCTACCTGACTCTAAGCTCAGAAAATGGAGACCACTAATTTGGGTAGGCCCTATTATGAATGAGGCAGCCTGTTGCATGGAATTCCACTTGAAGTTCCTGGGTAGTTTTCAAGGAAAAGTGGGGAATTATGGCTTTCTGTTTTAAATTAATCCACTCATAATCACAGAGTCTCTATGTAGTCTTCTGTCCTGCCTGACCACTCCTAGATCCTACCCGCTCTGACAACTGCTGAGCAGACTGCTGGAGATGTATGTCATCCAGCAATCTTTACACAGTGGAAATCTAATCCATGCTAAGACTGGCATCCTGCTCAGCAATGACTCACATAATGCCACTGCTGGAAAAGGGGTGAGGGAGGAGAGGGGTCAGGAATATTCATGGTTAGCCTTGAAGGAGGGGCTTTTCCTCATGGTGTTATTCTGATGGAGGGCCAGGCCCCTCTGTGCTGGCCTGTCATCAGTTTTTGAGGCGTCCTCTGTAACCTTGGCTGCCCCATCTGGAAAGCACGCCTGTTTGCTCTCTCAATGACTTGTTGTTCTTTAGAGCCAGGAATGTATAAACACTAAGGACATCAGCAGATGGGCATTACACAAGCCATCGTCATTGTCTGCGGCCAAGTAATCTAGATAGCAATCAGGAAAAAACAAAACTAAAATCATAAAGTAAGTTTTCTTTTGTTTTTGGTCTCTCCCAGAGAAAATAAAAGTACTATTTCCAATGTCTCCTTGGGAAGATGCTCCCCATCCTCTACTCCAAGGAAGGGTCATGAGCTGATGAGGCCTGAGCCAGAGTCTCTGCTTGTGTGAACCCAGAAGAATAACATAATGTCTGTTATGATCAGGTATTTCTGGCCTCCACCCCAAATCTACTGAATCAGAAACTCCAGGGGGAGGGCCCAGGAATCATCTTTCTACCAAGTGTCCCATGTGGTGTTTTCATCAGGGTAATTTGGGAAATTTTGAGCAGTGGATCTCAAAGTGTGGTGTCCAGACCACACAGTATCACTGAGAACATTTTAGAAATGCAAATCTTGGGCTCTACCTCAGACTGACTGAATCGGAAGCTGCCTGCAGTCTGTGCTTTAATGAGCCCTCCAGAGATTCTGATGCAGGTAAAGTTTGATTGGATTAGCCTTCCCTACAGCACGGTGATTTTGAGTCAAACCCAATTTCTGACAGTTAAGCTGCCTGTTTAAGGAAATACAGGATCCCTGCCCTGTCCTTCCAAGTGAGGGGCACCAGTATTGTGCTTAGAGCTAAACAGAGTAATAACACTAACAGCTCAATGGGCGCCAGACACTGTGCCAGTTTCTCTACTTGATTTAATTCTTATAACAACCCTATGAGGTGCAGTGTCTTTTGCAGATAAGGAAACTGAAACACTGAGAGCTTAAGGAACTTGCCTACAACTAGTAGGTGGTGGAGCTAGCCTTCAAGTCCAGGTTTGTCTGACTCCAAAGTCATGTTCTGAAACATCACACTGCACCACCCGCCCCCAACAAGCAGACGCCTAAGTTACGAGTTCTTTAAACTTGTAGAAAGTGATTTTCTGGGTTGGACTGGTTAATTCCTTAAAACTCTGTCATTTCTCATCTTCAAGTCTAACTCCTCATCAAGGAAGAACCGAAGGCTGAAAATGCACCTAATTCTGCTTGGTGCTGTAGAGAAGATGGAAAAAATATATGACACGCTTCCTGCCTCTCATAGCTTTCCCGCAGAAAAGAAGACAAAATCTCTAGCTCCTTCCTCTGAGCACTTCACCTTAAGAGACCATTTTCTTATTCCACATAGAGGCTAACGCTAGTTGTTTCTTCTTTTATGTTTTTAACTAGAATTTAAGTAAGATGGGGGCATTTATTGCACTCTTTGATGCTAACTGATTTCATATTCTGCTCTTCCTATCACATTCTGCCATAAATGCCATGATTTAGCCGCCTGGAATGCCTTTTCTACCTTATTTCAACCTGCTGCCCCATTATCTTTCACAGTTTACAAATTATAGTGGAGGAGGAGTTATTTCTACAGAAAAGAGGTCTGACCCACACTCACCCTGAGGCCAAGCCATTACCTCTTCTTTGACAATAGGATCTCCCACCCCTAACTCAGAATGAGGACTGTCCCTCATCTGAACACAAGAAGGAGTGGTATGTCTCCATGGGTGCTCTGGGTAGAGATGCAGTTATGTGACAACAACATGCACAAAGTGATGGCCGCAGAAATGCAGGTACCAAGGAGGAGGCTGCCCCAGAATGTAAGGAAGGGCTGTCTGTGAGGCCTGTCCAAGAGGCAGTTTGTTCAGAGTGTGTCCGATATCAGGGCTGAGGTGGTGGAATGCAGCTGAAAGTAGCTCTGCCCAGCAAATGCCCTCTAAAAAGCATTCTTGGAACTTAAAAAAAAAAAAAGCTGTTTTCTTCATCCCCACACATTTCCTTCCTCATGACTAAGAACTGTCCAGTGTGTGATCCAAACGCTCTCATGTCAATCTAAAGCCTCCACCAGTCCGGAGCCGTGGCAAGCAACCCCACCACGGAGGCCTTGCAGGAGAGTCTGCAGGCCAATACTGATTTCACTCCATCTTTTTTTTTTTTTATCTTGTTCTCTTTCTCGTTTGCATTTTTTTAGATGTTTCTCTTTTATATTGTTTGCCTATCTCCTTAATAATCTTCTATTGAGCACTCTGAATCCCTCTGTATTGATACTGGCAGGCCTGGGCAGGAAATGAGAATGAAGCCCTGGGGTAAAGACAGCCTCTAGGACACACATATTTTGCTCCTGTGTTTTTTTTTTTTTTTTTTTTTTTTTTTTAAAAAAAGGGAAACTTTGGGTCGACCTAAGAATTTGATG